TATCACTGCGCCAGGCGGCTACAGCTAAACAGCGACTGACAACGAGCCGTTCAAACATCAACTATCAACATGTACTGACAGATGCGGAGAAAATCAACAGGCAGTGATGGACGGCAGAGTGAGGGATGAGAATAAAAACGACGTAAAACAAATTGAAGTCTTTTCCAAAAGTAACAAAGAAAAAAGGAAGCAATGGCAAAGGAAAAGAAAAGCGGGATACGGGGCGAGGTGAATAAGAGGCAGGATGATGGGAAGGGGAAAAGGAGGAAACCGGCGATTAAGACGAAGATGAGTACCACTTTTCTGCGCACTCTTCTGCATCCGACCGTGCCAGGTAGTAGCTACTTAGTGTACCGGGGAAGCAGAACCTCGCAGCTTGTCTTGGGTTGTTCTCGCGTGTTTTGATGTGCAATTTTTCGCCGATAAGTCATAATCAGCATATACTGTCAGCTATCAATGATAGTATTTCTGCTTTTGTTTTTGTTTTCTTTTTACAGCAAGTGCTTTCTTTTGCCAGTGCATTGTTATTCAGTTGGCATTGAAGACCAATAACCATCAAATACGTTCCCAAGTGCACCTGTCACACTGCCAGAGCACCCACAACAAGAAGGCCCGCAGTCAGTAGCCCCAAACTACACCGACATGGGGACTGGCCACATCAGAGGCATAGGGGCACGCCTGCTGCTCAGTCCCACTCAACACCAGTCCAATCGGTCCGACCCGCCGCGCCGGTCCCAAACCGTCCAAAGCCGATGCATACCTACTTCAAAACATACTATGCCCGTCAATAGTCTAGCACCCAGGGCTGCAGAGTCGGAGTCGGAGTCGGAGCTGAACTCGGTTGGAGTCGACAATTCTGCCCGGAGTCGGAGTCGCCAAAATCTTACCAATTCCGACTCCGAAGTCGGAGTTAATGCTGCATGGTTCAACGGCATGCTCTGCACCAGTTTGCTTGACGATACTACGCAGATTTTGTCAAAAGAAGGCCATGTTACTGTATTGTACTAGCGTTTCCAGCGAAAGAAGCAGAAAACGGCGGATTCGCCGGAGCCTGCTTTTTATCCTGCATGCTATTTGTAAAGCATACCAATTTGCAATGCAAGGCTTGGTACGCATAAAGTATTGTTTCAGGTAAAATAAAAAACATCTTCACAATGCACATTATTACGAGCGAGCGAGCGCAGCGAGCGAAGTGAGTCTTTTCAATATAACGGAAAAATCTCAGTATGAGCGGCCCGGCCCGGCCCGGCCCGGCCTGTAACGCTTTTGAGAGGCTTATATCTCAGCAACCGCTGGACCGATTGGCCTGCGGTCTTTTTTGTTGGGTAGCCCGGGCCCCATCCCTTCTTCCCCGTAATTGACTACTTTTGATACATCTCAGTGACCGTCGTGGCACGTGCCACGTGAAAAGTCAAGGGTGTTCAAGGTGTTTTGCAAAAGTAGTAATTTTGAGAGGCTCATATCTCAGCAGCCGCTTGGGCGATTGGCTTGCGGTAATTTTTGTAGGGTAGCAGCATCCCTTCTACCAAAGGTCGGATACTCTCGATGCATGTGGGTCACCCCCAGTGCACGTGCAAAATACAACAATAAGAGGTGTCAAATTTGTTCCCATTTCAGTAACTCGGTAATTACTGGGGCGATTTCGCTGAAACTTGGCATACAGGTAGGCACCCACCAGGCAATGCATTCCCATGTGTTGCGGTTAGGGTGCTACTGCACGTGCGCACGTGCAGGGGGCGTTTCCAGATCTCGAGAACGGCTGGGCCGATTGCGCTCAAATTTGGTACACGGTTGGGGACCGGTTAGTAGGGTGCCGTGCAAAAGTCATTTTGGAACCCGTTTGCACGTGCGCACGTGCAGAATGCCGCTTCCAGATCTCAGGAACGGCTGGGCCGATTGCGTTCAAATTTGGTACACCGCTAGCGACCGGTTACCGGTTAGAACGGTGATTTGCGCAAGCCCATTGGAAGTACCCTCTCGCCCTTCCGCACGTGCAGGGCTCACTATCTCGCTCGCTCGTTCTTCGCCCAAAAGGCGTTTTACTCAGGGTATATAGAACAACGGGTACACCAACGACGCGGAAAGCGCCCATTTTACCTGGACAAGTTACAGGGTAGGTGATATATTTTTTGTTTATCGAAAAAAATAGAGTATTCCATTCTGAAGAGTAAAGCCAAATTCATAAAGCAGTTATTTTTAAATTATATGTACCAGAAATAACATACTAACCATAGTTTAAAACTTAGTTTAAAGTTAGTTGAAAAGCGTATAGTTGATACTAAAATGGAAGGAATCCATGGAAGGCGGAAATGGCGTAGCTGTTTCATTCTTTAAATGTGTTCGCAAGCAGGATTTACGTGATGCTAGCGACATCTATGAATGTAATCCTGGATGCTGATTGGCTGAGCGAGTCCGTGAGCAGTATCACTAATTTACGCTTGTACAGGGTTGAGGCAATGTGCGCATGCGCAGGAACTTGTGCTCTCATGGAGGGGCTTTTGGTACCTCGGGCAGCGCCCAATGCTTTTTGGACCTGTTATGCCCTCCACATCGAAAAACGCTAGATAGAAAGGTTGTAGAGGAAGCTTGAGGCTACCTTTCCCCACAATAATATTGGCACTTTATCTATTAGCTTACGTATGGGGCTCGCTTGAAAAAGGTCGATTTAACATGGAAACCCTATGGGGTAGTAGTTTTTGAGCGCCCATTTGGCCTAATGCTACCAACTGTTACTGGCTACCCCTGGTTTTACTGGTTATTATTGTCATATGAATTTTGAAAGAAGCGTCCGGAGTGGGAGTGGGAGTCGGAGTCCGAGCCGGAGTCGATTTTTGAAGCCGGAGTCGGAGTCGGAGTCACCCGAAAATCCATCGACTCCGCAGCCCTGCTAGCACCAATCACCGCATATGCAGAGGCCGAACCGTTAAGATCGAGTAGTTGAGTCGTAAGTCACGCGGTTGTCGGTCGCGGCCGAGCGGACCCAGTGCGTCGCCACTGGTTATTGGTGAGGTCCTCGGAAGCCCCGGCAGCGGTGGCCGACACTCGGGAGGACTCCACCGCAGTCGCACGAAGCCGTCACGCGACACAACGGCGGCACTCGCAATGGACAGAGCGTGCGCCGTGCAGCGTTCAGAGTCCGGTGGAACGGGCGATGGCTAACGAGGGCCGGTGGCCAGCGAAACTGCATGACTTACATCACCGACTTCCTCCCTTTATTATATTACATAATTTGCAGATGGCTTATGTAATTCCAGCTCGGCCTTAAAAAGGGAACAGTGCTAACAAGATTCGTGATTGACGTAGCCAGAGTGTCGCAAAAAATAGTTCCTGATATTCGAGTGAGAATGCAGGTAACACGAGGATGCTGATGCTGCCAATATCCATCCCGGTTAAAAAAAAAATAATAAAATGATGTTACCAGGGACCAGGGGTCAATGGGGACGCTCACACAGCGATGTTGTCTATGAGCTAGAACAGATAAGCGAACGGGTCCGGGTTAAAGACATCCCGCTTGCAGACTGGTTTGCAGAACATTCTCCGCGGCGCAAATGTCAGAGGTGAAATGCAGCTGAAAATCAATCTCATATAACGGTCTTTTGCAATACTTTTTATTGTGACGCTGCAAAGAAGATTAAGAAAATAAAATGATATTTTGGTAAAATATGTTATTATTCACGATCTCATATGGATTCAAACTTTAAATAAAACCCTCACGAACTTAAAACGGTGTTTTGCTGGTGAAAAATTTCGTCATTCGGCGATGTTCACATATGTAGAGATACGTTCGGCCTGCCCCCCAGATGATGACCTTTTAATATGTAGGTATTGATTTCGATTTGTGCCTAAAATGATCCTTTTATAAATGCAGTACCAGTGGTCTTAAGGCTCAGTCTGGGCAGCAATATATCAAAAGCTTTGCACATTCGCATGTAGGTACGACTTTTGGATCTCAGATATTCACAGCCTGACTGCTCCTCATCCTTCCATTCCCAAGGGTACTCTTCCCAGTTGTTTTGTAAAGAGATCGACCCATCTGCCTCTCCCCATTCGCCACCTATCCGTCTTTCCAGCAGCCTGGACAGAGAACATGAGTCTGTTTATCAGTCGGACACCTGAGTTTTCATAGCCGCGTGTCTATGTCACTTCCATAGGCAGCAGAGAGCAGATCTCACCGTAAAAACAGCATCTCCAGCCGCATCTGCAGCCACCACAGACGTCGCGGAGAACATCAAACAGAATCAGAAAGGAGAACAGCAGCAACATGACGCCGGCCTCTCGTGTGAATGACCGCCGCACGCCGCAAGGTGCGGAAAATGAGCTGCCAGTGACCAGGCTGCTTTGATCATCATGCTACGATCATGACGACATCTGCACTGTGTAGCTCGGCATGCGGTATCAGTAACAGAAAGGCGCAGAAAGCATCGAAAACAATGACCCCGAATACAAGAGCAAGCAAATGAAGAGAACGGATTTTCATATTCGCTCAGCATGGCAACCGTTTGTGATATGCCTTTACTCTGCTCATGTATCCCCGGTCACTCTACCGGCTACCCGAAGCTCGGACTGGTTCGGGTCTTAGACATATGTGGGTTATTGAAGTACGTACATACCTGCAATATACTGGTAAACAGGATATGAACACGTCATGCCCACTGCAATCATCGATCACAGTGCGCTATTTCCAACGTCATTACGTGTTTCCAGCGTGTTTGACCGTTACGAATCCCATACAAGCCAGGGGAAGAACCTCGAGATTCTTCGGGCGATGCTCACTCAAACGATTAACAGTTGCTCACTTGAGTGCTAACAGCTCAGTTTATGGCTAAACCGGTCATCGCTTAGGGCACACTATTGGCACAGTGGTAAATATGCTATGGAAACCACTTCACCGGGCGAGGCAGGGGAGTACCCTAGAGTGGGGAGGAGGGGGGGGGGATGACCGTAGCAGCAGCCCCAGCTGACCCGAAGGCGGTGACCTCGAGGTCAGGTCGCCGACTGACCTTGCCCGGAGCGCCGCCGAGGCTGCGGATGCGCTCGAACATGCGTTTCACCACCTCCGGCTCGTGACAGAGGTAGTAAGAGTTGTTGGTCGTGTGGAAACCGTACCTGTCGAAAGAAATAGGGAAACAGTCACTGGCGGGAAACGGGAGGATACGGGAGCAGCTCGGCTGTCGCGCAGCAATACACTGGAGATTGGATAACAATTTGACTTTTATTACCAATCGGCATCAGTTTATAACCCAATAAACAACCTATCAGCCCTCGAACGGCACAATTAAATGTAAATAAACGTCTCAGCATGGCTCATTATTCTGCAACATTATCATTCCTCTAATACGACATCCACTGTAGTATGCATCCTTTCCCACTCGTGCTCATTTCATCTGTCCTCGTCAGTCATCTGATCCATGTAAGAAATCACCGAACGGAATGCTACAGGAAATCACCTCTCTGAAGATCAACAGCTGAAACGGATCCCCACATCAGAAAGCACACGTCCTGACAGCCGTTATATGTTTAAAGGCCGCCCCACACTGGACCTCGCATGCGGGTTGCGAGTTTTTGGGTTTTCGGATTTCTTCCAAATCAAACAATACACTATGTTGAGTGGCCCACACTACCATGTGACAAGCGAGTCTGCATGTTTTTAGCATGTGAGCCTACTTGTATCGCATTCCAAAAGTTGATTTTGAGTCAACATTCGATTTTCCTTGCTGCGAGGGCTGCGAGTTTTGTTGTGTTTTGTTGAAGTCGAATTTGGGTTCGTTTTGCTGATATTGCGATAATATGCATTTTTTTCTGAGGGTGTACCGGCTTCGCTGCATTCATGTAGTGACCATAAAAGAGTGGTTAAATCACTCCATGAAAGAGTATAATACACATGAATCAAAAACCATCAATCTCGCAACCCGCATGTGAGGTTCAGTGTGGGGCGGCCATTAAAGGGACACTCCCACCTTAACATTAGTTTTGAGTTGAGATAGCCAAATTGGTGGCCATGGCCTGCAAATACCGGTTTGGGCACTCACAACATCGACAAATGCTTTAATTCGGAGATATGGAATTTCAAACTTGCAGTTTTCGGATTCTAAGGGGCTAGTGCATTGGTATGCCCCCTTAGAATTTGTGACGTCAGCGGAGATCTAACGATTTTTAAATCTTTTACTAAAACGTTTGGTAGCACGCGGTGGTATATGCTGCTTTGCGCGCAACAAATGCCGCACTTTCAAATAAAGTCGCTAGGAACAGCGGAGATCCCAAAAAGTAAACAAAAGTAAAAGTCTAATATCTTGAAAACCGGTGAATATTTTTCGATGAAATTTGGTAGATATTCGTTTTCGCTCTTTCTGAACCGAGCGACATCACTTTCGTGCCAATTCATTAACTTTTTTGAAGGTGGGAACTGGGAGGGTCCCTTTAATAAGACGCTCGATTGACCCATCCCACACCACCTCTGGCACTATTTGACGGTCGCTGCACCCTCCCCCGGCCGTCAGCCTTTCGGCTGTTTGTCTAGCCCCGAGAAGTCGCCTGTACTGTATGATCCGTATTGTTATTCCGCAGCGCACTATCTAAAACGCATCCATGGCTCACAACTATTTCGCTGATAAATGTGCCATATATTCGTCCGTACCCGGCTACCTTTATTCTCACATGAACCCAATGCTCACATGTTAATCATGGACGCTGATTGAGATGTTTCCCCTGGCCCCGGAGCATGCAGAGGCCACAGCGTTATCAATTCCTTTCATGTCGGTCGAAGGAAGTTCATAGAAGACATCTAACTGGAAGAATATTTATATCGCGCTAGAAACAAATGCCGTTTAAAGAGAGCACGCTGAATTTCGACGACCGTTTTGCACAATGTGTCATGTATATTACATATGACGCCACTGTTATAAGTCATACAAGTCACTCCCAATGTTTCATGTTATGCAAACGCTCCCTGTCTTCTGTGTGGCTGTATTTTGATGAACGGTGCGGCCAGGGACCAGGATATAATACAAGCAGTTTACAGGAAACAAATTTGTTACTGAAATGCGAATGAAGTGATCCAGACTTTACGCAATGTTGACGATACGACAGAGCCGGGGACCTCACAAAAAGGAGCCGAAAACCAGAAGCGTCAAGAAAGCGAGATGAATCAAGAAGTACGCCCTCTAAGGGAAGAGGTTGCGTGAACTGACCGCCATCCAGGAGGGAAGGTTACAGATCTATATCTTACAGCTTGAATATCGAAATATTTAATTCGTTAAGTGTTTTTATCAGTAGTTTATAGAAATGCTAATTCTATGCCTGCCACAATGAGCACATTTATACATCAATTAAAATGAATCGCAGTGACAGAATCACACGAATTGAACGTTGGTAAAGCTGCAAGTGACAGCGTCCGGAGAGCTACCGTTATCTCCTTATACTAATGTCCATGATACGGCCAAGCCTCGAAATGTCTGTCGATAAGCCTCGAACTGACAGAAACACATCCTGCTTCTCTCCGCGTTTACACCGCTGCGACTTATGCTAGACGTCAATCACTAGGTAATGGACCAACAAATACCATGTCACCACCGCCTTTGGTTCTTATCCATCTGAATTACAAATACAGGCAGCAGCACCTAAACAGCCCGGTGGCGCTGCCACTTCCCGTGTTATCACTTATCACCACGTTACGGCAATAAATCCATCGCTGCCGCTAGTATGTCGGGCTACTCTGTTTTGGATGTAGTTAAATGCATGCATCAGTTTGAGATAAATTACATGCTAACAGTGTAGTGAAAATAGCTCGAAGAATTCAATAAACGAAACAAGAGCATACCTTATCGTAATGTAAATAAATCAGAAAATTATGAATTCAACACGACCACAAAAACGTTCACTGGGCTGGTCACGGCATAAGCGGCCCGCTGGCGGCGGTGCCCGCGGGCACACACAGTTTGACCCGAGAGGCCCTTTTGGTGTGACCGTTGCGCTCCCCAGAGGTCAGCGCGGAGCGAGTGGTGTTCCCGCGGTCAGCGGTCAGCGCGCTGACCGTCCAGTCCTCACTGACCGACAGTGACGGATAGCCGACAGTTTCAGATACTCCCGCGCCATCTCACCACCAAGCAAATGTTATGCATAATAATCTGCACCGTGTGACCTATCATCTCCTTATTGCGAGATCAGCGTGTGGGCAGTTTGTCTGCCAGCTGTCGCGGAGGTGGGGTCGGGGACCTTTCGCCGGGCACGGGTCGCCGGTAAGGAGCACAGGCAGATCGGTCAGCTCGGGAGCCGCGGAGAGGAGAGAGGAATGCGGAACGAAACGGTGAGGCTCATCATAAAACCGGGACAGAGGTGAGGCAAGGAATCGAGTCAAACAGATGGATATGGGGAGCTGATGTAAGCTAGGACCGGGGCCCCACATAGAATTGTATGCATACAAAAGCGTGCGATAAAAATGTGATAACAAAAATGAAATTTCTCTTTGAAGCATCAGTCAGAAAGGTAGCGGCATACATTGCGAAGTCTAGAATGCATACTTCAGCTGAAACGCAGCCTCGCTCCCCGTTCCAATATGGTTTGGAAACAAGACTATAGCTCGTTTTTTAAAGTTTGCCCCTCACTGTAAACGTCTTTTTGAATACAGCACGAGAATTGCTAGCTGAATTACTGAGAAAACTGGTTGGCGCACATTGTATTGGAGATATGAATAATATTTTCAAAATAAGTTTTGAACACCGACGATGTAATGGAGCTGTAGGTACAGGCAAATACGAGCTATGAGTCTGTGAAATAGTAAACAAAGTTGATAAAATTGATCGTCTGTGAAATCTGGTGAAATCAATGTGCGCCAACCAGTTTTCTTAGTAATTCAGCTAGCAATTCTCGTGCTGTGTTCAAAAAAGACGTTTACAGTGAGGGACAAACTTAAAAAAAACGAACTATTGTGAGGGCAGTCATTTGCGTCTCTCTGCTACAGATTTGTCACACGGGTGTATGTCACGGACAGATGTCACGCATGGACGTCGGATAGATCGCCCATGTCACGGATAGATCACGGATAGATCTGTCACGTGTGGGTAATTTCGTCACAAGATACCGGTAACCAGTGCCGTTATTTAAAGTTCCTGTTACGTTAACACGGAGCGGAGGAGTAACCGAAAGAATACCATTTAATACTGAAAGTCGACTGTCATAAAACTTCCACTAACACGCATGGAAAGTCACTCTTCTGTTTCAGATGACGCTAGACGGGTTTTTAAGGCACAACAGCCGCGCAACTCTGAGGTACTTCGGTCATAAGACCGAGACTTTCATCTACAGCTAGCTCACCGTTCCTCCATTGTTGGTACACACGCCACAGCGGTTACCCACCCCACCACCGCGCCGCGCCGGTCACTTCAGGAGCCGCTTCGGGCCACTGCAAACACACCGCGCCTCTGGGTGCCTACCGCACCGTCATCGGAGGGAACTACCCGCCGCTGACGGCGCTGTTACCGTCGAGATGTCCACAAAACGCCGCCCCACTCGACACTAAGTTTCCCCGTGATGGGGACGGCACCCTGACCTCACAGGTTGTAGTTGTAGTGTCTGTTAATAAAACACACCCCACTCGGCAGTAAAGGCGCGGGCCGGTAGCGGGGAGGGAGACGGCACGGAGAGGGCCGCCACATAGCCTAGTCAACATCCGCGTGAGTGAGCCGAATTCATCTCCAGACTGGCCGGCAATAAAGCAAGGCTGGTGATAAAACCCGAGTTACGACTGACAGTGCACAACACTCCGCGGGGGATAGGTCAGCAGGCTGACCCACTGCCAGAGTTCAGTGAACTCGATTTAACGTTGTTTTACGTTTTATGTACGCCTCGACCACGCCCCGGTTAGAGAAGCACGCACAGTCACGCATTTCAATTCGGAGCTTATAGCGATTCGAGCAAGTAAGCAGAACCACCGATGTTGGACCACAAAGCAATGAAAAAATTGTTCACCGTGAATTGGAAGCCTTTCTCAACAATACCGAAAAAAGAAACATTGAAATGGTATAAAATCCATTTCAGAAATGAAATATGAATTGTCATTCACCTGCTGTTTCAACGGACGTAAATGACCTTGCGGTCGACAGCCGCTAGGTCATTTACCTACGTCATTTTAATCGGTCATTTACAAACCTTGACATTGATTACAAACCTTGACCTTGAATGACCATTTAATCGTTAACCTTGAATGACCAATCAATCGGTCATTTACAAACCCCGTCAACTATCTAAACAAAATCTCACTTATAGTCCCGTACAATTTTATTACAGTTTGTCATCAGCATCCTCGTCGCTTTCCCGTGCACCTGGTGCGGTGCACGATATCCATTGTTCAACATTAGGTGACATTTGTACGTGTCACATTGGTTTGTAAAGCTGGCCATTTAGTCGTCACCATTTTTACATCAGCTGGTATTTTTAGCAATAAATAAATTAAAAAATTAACACGGAATGAATGAGGCGTTACATGACCGCAGAGGGCGGTACCGTTGTCACTTCCGCTCTGTGTTAACGGAACGGAAATTTGAATAACGGCACTTGTGACCGGTAGCTTGTGACGAAAGGAGCCACACGTGACGGATCCATCCCTGACAGTCGGACGTCCATGCGTGACATCCATCCGTGACAGACACCCGTGTGACAAATCTACGGCCGACGGAAACGAATGTAAATTTTTACAATCAATTTGTTCTTAGCAGCGGTATTGACGTCACTTCGTTTTCCGCATTTAAAACTCGTGTCCGTAATATGATTAACAAAGTGTGATGTGAGTGCCTTATATATATCTTGTATGACAACGGTCTTTGAATAGCCCCATTATTGCGGGTTGACCGGATGATGTAAAATAAATAAATAAATAAATAAATAAATAAATAAATAAATAAATAAATAAATAAATAAATAAATAAATAAATAAATAAATAAATGTAATTGTACAGGCCTCCCTGGCGTGCTCAGTGACAGGCTCACATTGTGAAAGGCCAGCACGGGAATCTGCCCACCTGTGGACCTTTAAACTGACCATCCTCACCTATCGTAGATAAGGTCGAGCTGCTGGGTCAGAGACAGTCCCTTGTTGGCCAGCGTGGTGGCCATCTGGGCGACCTCCAGCGCGGCGCTAACGCCGTCCTTGTCCAGCACCGTGGTGCCGCACATGAAGCCGATGGCCTCCTCGAAGGCGAACAGCACCTTCTTCCCCTGCAGCATCAGCTGCTCGGCCCGGTTACCCATCCACTTGAAGCCGGTCAGGGTTTCCTGTGGGCGAACACACGGGGGCGAGTGGAGGAAGTTAATGGGGTAATTACTGTCGGCGTTGGCTGAACTAATGAGCAGACGTAACCGCAGCAGGGCAGACATACTGCTCTGGTACCTACTGTAGAGTATGACAGATGGCGCATGTAAGTACGAGACACCTCAACGCTCCACAGTACTAAAATGCACTAATTCCACACGTTATTCACAACATCGGACAGGCGTGACGGAACATAAAAACTAGGCGTGACGGGACATAAAAGCTAGGCGTGACGGGACATAAAAGCTCCACATAACGCCAAAGAGCATCAAACGACGGTAAGTTCCTTGACCCATGTCGGCAATGGCGGTATTATAATTCAGCATATGTTTGCATGCCCCGAACTTCTATTGCGCTTTCTATCTCCGACAACGCAATACGAAATTTAGATAGCATGCCCATATCCGACCAAGAACGGAGTGCAGCAACCAGAACAGCTTAAGGATAGCAGACAAATAAACTTTTCATGAGCAGTCTTCCTCCATTGATTCACCCTTGCAGCTCCGAGGCTGCGGAGCTGTTTGACAAACAAAGTTACCGGTTGTCGATGCCTGCTTTGATCATGTGACCGGACAACACTTGCTAATGCCCACTGTAAACAAGCCCAGACGTATTCCAAGCGGTTGTAGCCATTTGTTGAACAGCGTCAGCCTATCAGCTACCCCGCCTATAAAGTCCTGCCGACAAGGCGTACAAAATACTAAGCCCCGGACAAAGCATATGCATCGCACTTGTCATTCGGGTGCAGGCTAATGTCCCAAACATCCATCCCCCAGTTCCTGCGTTGAACGTCCCACTACAGTCATGTCATACCGGTCGCTGCATCCCATCGTGCTTCGTAAGAAGCCGTGCTGTGTTGGTCATGTCCATGGCCGGTTCGCACGGCAGGTGAATGAGAATGACTAAGCTTATTTCTCACTTTATACTGATGGTCTTTCATGAAAAAAATATCCAGTAATGCAAAACAACGACCACCATTGTTATTATTTTCACACATTACACGAATTTTCACCCACCCATGTCATCACTCGTATTTATCGCATTTAACTAAAGTGCTGACATAAACAAGGCGCAGCGAACAACATCAACCGGAGCGTGATAAATTCGCATTAGTCAGGTCATCGTCATGGAGCCACACTCCCATCCTAGTCACGTTGCTATAAACACGAGACCGCCAACAGTTATCCCGCTAGCTGACCTACCCCGGCACAAAGCCAAAAGAAAAACAAGCCTATCAGAGGAGTAGATCTGACATATTCTTCCATGCAGTCAAAATGTTAGATGGAGCTGCTGCAGACTCCGTGCTAATCTCTGGGCCATAACTCAGACAAAAGCGGGTCATTCAACTGCGACCATCCCCATATCCAGTCCTCTCCTCCCATAGACCTCTGTATATCTCAGTAGCAGGTAAGGCAGAGGTGTTTTGTATGTTATCCAAGACAGATTTGTATATCAAAAACGACAATATTATTCAAATCTACTATACTATTTGTAGAATGAAACTCTGTCTGTCTGTGTTTCTGTTTGCACCGTGCAGAGGGGTGCTTTGACGTTGTGCACAGGTCAAACGGTGCGTTCGATGGGGCTGAAATTTTCGCAGGGTGTTGATGACGTCACGCGCACGTGCAGTGTCGAGGTTCGAGTCCCGGGGGGTGGATGGTTCGCACGTGGCACGCGCTGGAAAAAGGTGCTTTTTCTCCAAATTTTGCTCGGCTCTCAAGCTTGCTTCAAGGCATCGGCAGCCGGGTTCAATCGCCTTTGACAATAAAATGCATGACGATCGGCGGCGGGTGCCTCTCATTTGCAGATTGGCCAAGTTATTTATTTTGATAAACAGAGGCGAATGAAGGTGTTGATTTTCGTTGAATGGGGACAGTTTTCAATGCGCTGACACAAATGCACCGCGTTTGCCGTAATGCGCCACATTTGTCGAAAGGCGCCATTTTTGCCGGAAATTGCACAACTTTGTCAAATATGGTCCGATAAAGGCGCAATTCGGTGAAAGAATGCATGACAAAAGGACAGGCACAAATGCGTCACTTTTGTCGCAACGCGCCACATTCGTCACAAGGCGCTATTTCCACCAAATATGATTAAGAATAATGGAATTACACGAGTAGGAGCACGGTTAGAAACTCTTTTTTTAGTTCGTCAGTTTATATGATAATCTGTGACCTCACATGACCCAGTGGTAGTGGTGGTAGTGTAGTGGTAGTAGTATTGGTAGGAGTAGCGGTAGGGGTAGTGGTAGTATTAGAGGTAGTGGTAGGGGTAGTGTTAGGGGTAGTAGTAGGGGTAGTGGTAGGGGTAGTGGTAGGGGTAGTATTAGGGGTAGTAGTAGGGTAGTGGTAGGGGTAGTAGTAGGGGTAAGGGTAGGGGTAGGGGTAGTGGTAGTGGTAGGGATAGTGTTGGGGGTAGTGGTAGGGGTAGTGGCAGGGGTAGGGGTAGTGGTAGGGGTCGTGGTAGGGGTAGTGGTAGGGGTAGGGGTAGTGGTAGGGGTAGTGGTAGGAGTAGTGGTATGGGTAGAATTAGTAGAAGTGTGGCACAGGCCGATCCAATGTGACGTGGTGACCTATACGACCTGGCCTGACCGAAGGTGACCTGGCCTGACCCAGTGTGAGCAGGGATGACCGACTTGACCTGACTTGACCCCGTATGACCCAAATTTTATCAAACTAAGCCATCAGAATATTCCTTTATATATCTGCTTCCAGACGGCTCATCGGTATGATTCAAACACCATTCAAAAGCAAACTGGCTGCTGCGTATTCTATGGCTACGCCGCGAAGCAAGTGGCGCAGCCGCTTGTCTATCTTACTATTTGAACAGGATCCGTCTGTTTGTTTGTTTGTTTGTCCGCCACGCCGTGTAGTGGGTTCAATTTGTTACGGCTACAGGGCAGACGGTACGACGTAGGGGGCTGAAATTTGCACACCTTATAGGTGACAGAACGGGTCAGCGCCTTTTCTAGGTTCCGACTCGCTGGGGTGCACGATTCGCGCGTGGGGCGCGCTGGAAGAACGCCAATGAAATTTTGATCGGTTCGTAGATCTTCATTGAGAGCCGGGGTCGACAAACTTTGTGGACTAAATGCATGCCGATCGGTGGCGGGTGCCTCGCATTGGCGGATGGGCAAGTTTTTAATTTGAATAAAAAGTGGCGAGAGAATGTGTTGATTTTCGTTCGATGGGAACAGTTTGTGATACGATTTTACAAATTCACCGCGTTTGCCGCCATGCGCCATAATTATCTCAGGGCGTCATTTTTGTCGCAAATCGCACAGTTTTGTTAAATATGGTCCGATATGGGCGCAATTTGGTGCAAAGATGCATGCTCAATCACCGGGTGAAAATGCGCCACGTTTGCTGCAATGCGCCTCATTTGTCACAAAGCGCCATTTCCGACAAAAACGATTAAGCGTAATGGAATGGCACGAATAGGGACAGGGCTGGGGACACTTTAAGTCTGATATTTTACTACTGATTGGATCCAATTATTCTGTGACCTGACATGACCCGGCGGTGTTGGTAGGGGTAGGGGTAGGGGTAGGGGTAGTGGTAGGGGTAGTGGTAGGGGTAGTGGTAGGGGTAGGGTAGGGGTAGGGGTAGTGGTAGGAGTAGTAGTAGGGGTAGGGGTAGTGGTAGGGGTAGTAGTAGTGGTAGGGGTAGTACATAGTAGGGGTAGTAGTAGGGGTAGTGGTAGGGGTAGTGGTAGGGGTAGTGGTAGGGGTAGGAGTATGGGTAGTAGTAGGGGTAGATGTAGTGGTAGGGGTAGGGGTAGGGGTAGGGGTAGGAGTAGGGGTAGTGGTAGGGATAGTGGTAGGGGTAGTGGTAGGGGTAGTGGTAGTGGTAGGGGTAGGGGTAGTGGTAGAGGCAAAAGCAGAACAGTGGCCCGGGCTGATCCCAGCAGACGAGAGGTGACCTATGTGACCTGGCCTGACCCAAAGTGACCGGGACTGACCCCTTTGACCCGTATTGACCCCGTATCACCCAAATTTCATCCAACAACGCCCTCAGAACAGTTATTTTTTAAATTCTCTTCACATTTCCGTCCATATCTATGCTTCTAGACAACACATCGACATGAATCAAACACCATTCGAAAGCAAATTGGCTGTTGCCGCAATTTAATTATTATGTGACCTGACATGACCCAGTGGTAGGTAGTGGTAGTGGTAGGGGTAGTGGTAGTGGTAGGAGGTAGGAGTAGGGGTAGGGGTAGTGGTAGTTGTAGGGGTAGTAGTAGGGGTAGGGTAGTAGTAGGGGTAGTGGTAGGGGTAGTGGTAGGGGTAGTGGTAGGGGTAGGAGTATGTGTAGTAGTAGTGGTAGGGGTAGGCGTAGTGGTAGTGGTAGATTTAGGGGTAGGGGTAGTGGTAGGGGTAGTGGTAGGGGTAGTGGTAGGGGTAGTGGTAGGGGTAGGGGTAGTGGTGGAGGCAAAAGTAGAACAGTGGCCCGGGCTGATCCCATCGGACGAGAGGTGACCTATGTGACCTGGCCTCACCCAAAGTGACCGGGGCTGACCCCTTGACCCGTCTTGACCCCGTATCAGCCAAATTTCATCCAACAAAGCCCTCAGAACAGTTCTTTTTTAAATCTCCTCACATTTCCGTCCATATCTATGCTTCTAGACGACACATCGATTTGAATCGAACACCATGCGAAAGCAAATTGGCTGGTGCCGCAATTTTTTCTTACCACGCAGCAAAGCAAGTGGCGCAGCCGCTTGTCTATATTACTATTTGAGGAGGGCGTAGTTTCTGTCTATTACGAAGGTCGCGACATGGTGCTACGTAGCGCGGGTTACAGATCACACCGTTGCACCTACCGCGCTGAAATTTGCGCAAGTTATAGAACAAGGATGGACAACGTGCCTTTGAGCGGTCTCGGCTCGATCGGATCGATAGCGAGCGCGTGGCGCGTGCCCAAAAAGTGCAAATTCGCGTCATAGACTTTACATGTATAAATCGGCTGGCAAAAACGGGCGAAAATGGCTAAATTTGCCCGACACGGGTCCGTTCCCCGTGCAATATCTCGGTAGCCGTGCGCCCGATCGGCACGGGGAAAACAGCATCGTGTGGAGAATCGAACGGGCAATCGAATAGTGTGCGGTGCAGGGGTGGCACGCGCCACGTGCAAGTGTGAGGGCAATTTCATTTCAAAAAGTGCCATTTTAAACGGATTTTGGAATTTATATTAATTTCAGGTGATCGTCAGACGGAATGAGTTGAAACAGCGCCTATTAGCAATAAAAATGTACCGTCTCTCATGGAAAAATTGTGAAAAGCTAATTGATCAAAAACAATGTGGAAAAAATCGCTGAATTAGATGGTATTTGTCCAAAATGTGCCACTAAAAAGTTACACGGGATTTGCTGCTTAACCTGATACGCTTGACAATTGAAAATGCTATCATTAGAAAGAGCATTCAATTCTCTCCAAGATCCAATCATCACGTTTGCATGACAAGCAACAGTATTCTTAAAAATATAAATGTTTTAAACCTCTGCAAAGCGATTTTTAGCGAAAAATATCTACGCCTTTCATTTGTCTGAAAACTACGCACCTCAATTATAAAGCACATTTGGCAGATTCTGAAGTGGAAAGCATGCTTATCAGACACGGGCACCTCGATGCGGTGGATATTTTTTCCACAAACCAAAACGTTTAGCCGTCAAAAAGCAATCGACCGAAATGGATAGATAACCCAACCGACACAAGAACAACCGAACACCCGCCGATCGAAAATATCCCTTTTCGCGTTGCGGAGCACGCGGGTCACCCTAGTATACACTACACAAATACATTGAATATTATTCAACTATATAATAAATTATTCAAATATAATTCAAATTTCTAGTGCATTTGAATAATATTGTCGTGTTTGATATTCGGAGGTCTTTGCCCCTCTCCGTTCCATCCTTCCTTCTCCGCTCCCCGGCCGTCGGTCTTCTCGGTCGGCCCCTCACCTCAAAGTGGAAGCCCTCCTTCTCGGCGATGGAGCGCAGAATCTTGGACGAGACTGTGCTGGCGAGCATGTAACAGGTGTCTTTGTCGTCTGGCGAGGGGTACGAGGACCAGCACCACCAGCCGAGCAGGGCGCCCGTCTCGTTACCGTTAAACACACGCCACTCGCCGCTGGGGAGAGAGGGGGAGACAGAGAGAGAGAGAGAGAGAGAGAGAGAGAGAGAGAGAGAGAGAGAGAGAGAGAGAGGGAGGTGAGTGGGACGGAACTGAAAACAACGGCAATTATCTATCATTGCACATGCATTTGCATATTGCTTCCGTGGTTGGTGATCACATGAAGGTAATGAACACTGACTTTGTTCTTACAGCTGAATTCAAGTTCCATTACACTCATTTGGTAACAAAATTGGCAGTTCTTCTAGTACATGTACCAATTTATTACGAGACTATAATAACCGAAGAACGATAGACCTCTAAGAGTATTTGCACAGGTGTGCTAACATACACTCAGTTCCCCGCCCGTATCCCGGTAAGTCCCCGGTTCGAATTAGCAACACCTTGCTTCACTGGAGACAACAAAGCATGACGGCAACAAATTAACAGCACGGGCAATTCGATATGCATGGCGGCGCGTTCAAACTAGCAACCCTAAAGGTGCGTTCACACCGTCAATGGATTGAAGGCGGGGGCCGATACCTCGGAGCTGTTCTACACCATAATATAGAACTTTAGACACTAATAGTACTTCAGGTAGTATAGTGTCATGAGCACTGAGCAAGCAATACGGTAACCCTTCATGTCAACAAACTGCAGTTTTGGGATCATAGGGTCATCATTTAGGATCAGACAATCTATTTCATTCCACATGAAACAGAGTACCTACGCTCCTGATTTTCAGCTTATATAACCAGTACCTTACGTGCCAGGATTGCATGCTGGGTTATCAATGTGTAACTAACTACTACCGTAGCTTCAAAGCAAAATGTATTAAATAAATGTAAAATGAAAGCAAAAAGGATTGCACGCCACGTTCAGCCATGGACATAACTAACACAGTTACACAATGGCGATTGGTCGACAGGCCAAAGGTGCCAGAGTTGGCGTCCTGACGAGGGTTTGCTTATGTTTGAATCGGATGGTCGAGTAAACACAGAGTAGCTGCTGTGAATTCGGGCCCTGACCTATCCATTATGTAATGGTACTTGGCGGTCATTGGCGTCCCAGCGATACAAGTTGAATGCATTGTGTCAGGTCGATTTGTTCTATGACTTTTTTTTTAGATGAAACAAAAAATGACGAGAAAAAGGGATGGCCACTCATAACTCATAGTCTCTCATGGTCACTGGTAGGGCTAGCACACCACACCTTGTATAATGCATCACCGTTCCCTGCTTCTATCCTCAGGATACAGAAATCCTTCTCCTCCACGCCACAACCCCCTCCGGGCTGGACAGGCAACTTTATCTCATGCGGGCTGCTCCCTTGGAGCGGCACCGCTGCTCCTGAGGGAGCGCACCCCGTAGCCGGGTGCAGTGAGTGCCTTGGGGCTGGGTGGCCTGTCCTTGGACGGGCTCAGCCCCGGCGACTCACTAGGGTGCCTGCCCAGACCAATGTCTCCCCCTATATCCTATGATCCTCCCGGCTCTGAAATGGTCTCATTGGACCGAAAGAGCCTAACCCAACAAAACAATTAAAACAAACAATTGTATAATGCGATCCAATGGAAAAAATACTCATTTGTCGGTTCATTCAATGAGGATAGGTATGCATTTTTGTTCAGTTTTAGGCGCGGTTATGTGGTAAAAGGTTACGAAGCCAAACTCAAGACACATTCAAACAAGTTAATGAATATCCTCAACCTTAGTAAGCTATTGCGCCAAAATCATGATTTTCAAAATCACTTTCATACCTAAACATGTGGTAGATGCGTTTGTAAACCCTGCGCTTTGTTGAACTTTGATTGATTTATAGCCTGCGAATGACCCGTTCAATTTGTGTACTGGTGATTTCATGGCGTGTGCACGCGGTAATTGATTGGCATACTAATTTAGCATACCAATTCCAGAAGTAGGTATCCATGGGAACTCCTGGTTATTAAGTTGCAAAGACAAGTGAAAACCAGCCCACCATATCGCGCCTGTGCATTTCGAAGGAACGGTAATGACTAAAATCCCATGTCCTGCCACAAACGGCTGCTGGCAAGTTAAAGTAATAATAGCAACAGTGCAGATGCGGCAGAAATTCCCACGGCGGACAGTATTAAAAAACCTTAATAATTATAAAACAGGCCGACAGGGAGGAAACGTAGGCGTCAGGTATTGTAAAAGGCGCCCGCAAATCCCGCAAAAGGCGCCCACCGTTCCCACACTGAATAGTTTCGACGTTGGGATATCGGTGTGACACGCATATTCTCGGGATAGGTTACTGACGTGCTATTGTGCTTAGCCTGCAGCTCGTACACTGATCGGAAATTATCCAATTTAATCACAGTAGCCATATACCAGTCAGCCGCACATTCGAGAGCTATCACATCCAGCAGCTTTGTCGGTGTCATACCGACCCGGCCCGAGCTACGCCCACCATCTCTTGCTCTCCGGGGTCATAGATCGGACTGAAGCCGATCCGTGCATCCTCCCTGTCGTCCATCATTTCGTCAAGAGTGCACGGATCGCAGATAAGATTTCCTCCCTGGCCCATCCACCTCTCCACGTCCATGCACTCCCCACAGAGCAACGACCCGACGCCGTGGGTCGCCTCTCTGCTCACCATTTCCGCCTCATCTCCGGGACCCCTGCAGCTCGGACCGGGGCCGGTCAGAGGAGGGTCAAACTCTGTGCACCAGCCGGGATGACTATCTTCAGACACCGCGGCACACGTGACTCCCAGAGGAGGCGTCCATGGGTACACGGCTGGTCGGAGCTATCAATTACTGCACAATGATAATTTATTCACAACAGCGGTACCAAGCCCTTATCGTAAATGGCAATTAAATGCCTGAACACAATCATGTGGAAACACAATGGTAGGGCAATGCCAGCTAAATTTCACGTTTTCAGTATATTATGGTCCGTATGGTGGGCACAGAGACATTGATGAGGAAAGGCTAAAATCAAACGTTGCGATGAACCGAATTTGGCAACTTAGCTGCGCCTCATTGTGCCTATATTGCTGAAAATTAACCATCATGTTATGCATATATCGACGGCCGTTTTTTCTCTTATGAAGGTCTCTCAGAGTTAATTAATCCAGCCGTTTGTTTTGCCGTTTGTTTGCAGCCAAATACTTGATAACTCTTACCAGTTTAAATCCATGCTTCCTCCATTCAAACGGTTCACTGCCTGAAAATAGTTGCCGTGCTAAGTACGCATCGCCCATCGTACATCGCTAAATGAACACTTTATTTTTAGTTACTTTTTGTTTGCTATATTCATCTCGTGCACAGGTCACGACGCTGTTTAAATATACATATACGATTAAGTTATATATTATTCAGGACACCAGCGGTCATCCACCCGGCCACTCACCGCTCCCCATCACCCTAGGACTTTGTTCCGGGATAAACTCTATACCCGATTACCGCGCGCCACCCCGAGTGCGTGGGATACAAACAAATGAATTGACAAACAGCTGAATGCGCAAACAGCTGAATATTGTAACAGAGACTCATTTGCATTGCATTCAAATCAGTGAACAGCCGCTGTCGTTAAATACTTCAGCTCGTATGTCAGACGGCATGCGGCGTTTAAGAGTTCAACTGTATACGCGAGAAATTAAGTCCATGGCGGGACGAATTAATAAAACAAATTACAAAAGAGGTCACTGGCTGGGCGATGAGAGCCACATGAGACACGTGGCACAGAGTTATGCAACAGCGGGCCCCAAAACGCTAAAATAGGCAACAGTTTTGTCACTTGGTAACCTTTTGGTGCCATATTAAGGTCGACAGTGTGCGGGGGAAGCTGTGACCTTAGTGATGCGAATTTTAGCTCATTGGGAAACGGTAACCAAGCCAAATAGGTGCCAGCCAAAAGCATGGGAATTCATGAAACCAGCAAAATAACAATACATCAAAACTGATCGTTCGTTCATGAGGGTTTACGAGCGCGTCGACTGCGGTGGTCATTTTGCGCCCAAAACATCAAAACTGAAAAAGACAAAATACCGGTTTGGTATTAGCTAGGAATTGACAAAACAATACCTAGCTGGTGTCCGATTGGCATCTCCAGTTTTGACCTCTACTGCCCGATCGAGTACTCCGAGTGAGCGTCAAAATTGGTCCATGAACCGGTGACACATTTCGGCGGACGCTCCGACTTATATAACGCCACTGGCTGCCACTGACCGCAGGCCACCCCCGCCATACACAAATAGCAAGCGGCACGGCCCCGGCAGGGCTCTCACTAACGGTAGGAAGGGTAAAGGTGTCGACAAACCCATTGGGGCAGACACATATTGCACTAGAGGCTTAGTAATACTACTTAAGCAATTTGACCTCAGAAGACCTACGTGAAAAATGTGAAACATCCATTGCGGAGGATACTATTTTCTAAATTGTAGAATGTTGGATATTTCTAGAAAACTGTCATTGCGAACCACGAACCTTTGGCGTATTAGAGATGCGTCTATAAGCAATAGCATTCACTACCGTAAGTAGATTATGCTGAATACTGACAGGCAATAAGTGTGAAAATGAGCGGTCTCGAACAAAGGGCAACTCTAACCAATTCATGGTAACGGATCCATGGCGGATATAAAATGACGATAATAACTTAATTTTCTTTGGAAGACAAAGCTTTCGATACATACCGTATCTTGATTAGTGTTTGACTTAATCGACATTGATCACTGATCGACGACATGATGCCATCGACAGTGATCAAGATACTGTAAGTATCCAAAGCTTTATCTTTAACGATAAACTTGATAATAAGTCTAGTTTATATTAAATGATAATAAATGATAATAACGATCCTAAATCTTGCCATTTTATTACCAATTCATCTTTCTCAATCTGTCAGGTCGTGAGCTCCTCAAAGGTCAATGTAGAATGGGAGGATGGAATAACCCCACCCCCACATTCAGAAATTCATGAACTATGATTACCATTGAGTGCAAACAAAATGCTTGACATGGGTACCCTGTTTAGTCAGACGACCCTTTCGACCTATCGAGCCCTCTTCAGGACCATGTGATGACAAAATAGGGACATTGCACTGACGCACTCATGGTGCGCCGACGCGTTAGCTTCCTCCCGTGGGATAGCCGATTGGAAAATTATCTCGCTGCACCAGCGCATGATCAGTTCCCATCACCATTTCCGTCTATGACATCCTGCACGCCCAGTGCAGCTGTTGCCTTCGTTACAACTCCTAACGCCCGACCGAAAATTCAAGGATAAGGGCAGAGTTCAGAGTTCACGGACCCTGGCTCCAACAGCCCAGGTGGAGCCGACCGGGGCTGGTGGACCGAAAATTCAAGGATAAGGGCAGAATTCAGAGTTCACGGACCCTGGCTCCACCAGCGCCGGCCCGCTGACTTATGTAACGCGAGCGCCGTAAAAGCGCAGGGCAGTTTCGCCTGGGGCGCGGTGCGAACGGCGCAGAGGCTCAACCCTTGTTCTCACGACAGGTGGAGCATGCAGGGGCGGACAGCACTACCATTCAGGCATTGGGGCGGTCCACCACATATCCTCCCTTGCAACTGGGGGGATTACAGAGCAGATCACTAACAGAGTAAAAAAAAAACTAACCATCTACCGCAATGGTGGTACCCATTTCATACATTCCTAGTGGAATATGTAACCAAAAACTGGCAAAATGGCATGATATAGAACTATCAATTAACTGACACTAGCCGCTCGCCTTTTGGGGCGACAACCAAGCAAGCGAGAGTTGAGCTTTACACGTGCGAATCGTGGTCAGATGGGTCATTGGCGGACTTGATCTCGGCTCACCCAGAGTGACAGAAGAAAAAATCCACAAATACGCCTCCGTAAGGGTCTTGCTTGTTTTGTTTTGTTGGATTCAGCTCTTTCGGTCTATTAACCCGCGCATGACTGGGGGGGGGGGGGGGGCTCCACAGAGCCCCCCTCCCGTTTTTCGGCAATATCTTCTAAACCGTTTGACGGATCAACACGAAACTTGCAGTACCCTCAGAGGCATCAATTTGACACCTTGTGTTAAAATTTCAACTTTTTAGCTACCATAGTTTGGTCGGAAATGACGTCAGAATGACGTCATGTCGAGCGATTTTGATGCAAAATATTGAATTACGGCAAACGCTCTCAAGAGCTTAGTTTTAAAGCTAGATCCAATTTCTTTGCACCAGTGAACTACAAATACACGTAGCTATCAAACTGCTATCTCGCATTTTCGAAATTCTGAAAATTTGGAAAACGTTTTTTTTTACAATCACAAAAAATATATAATTTGATTTTTTTTTATAAAGTTTTTAATTTTTCGCAAAAAACGGAATATATGTAACAGAACACAGTCACACACTAATTTGCTCTAGCAGGTTTCAGCCCAATACCTATCTTCAAAAATAGCCAAGTTATTTGCATTATTGCCAAAATTTTACAATTATATATTTTTCAAAACCATTTTTAGTACGTTTTTGACATCCTACAGCAATAAAAATGGCACCATTCTGAGCTCAAACTGCATATGATGGGCACCTTTTTTGTTGAAAAATTTCATTTTCAAAATTTGACCTTTTCTGACCTGAAATGACACAGACATTATTTTCGAAATATACGTGTAAAATGGACCATAAAGCATGCGTCACGTGACCGATACATGATATACAATTTTCGTGACCTAGGATGGCCTGGCCTTGACCTGAAAAATCCGAAGTAAAAGTTCGGTACCCTCAGGGTATCTAAGGCATATATCAAGGAGTGCGTAAACCAAAAATGAGCCTGATCGGACATGTTAGCCGGCGGCCAGAGCCTAAATTGTAAACAAGCAAAAATGCCGATAACTTTTACTTTGACCTGACCTGTGACGTCATCGGTGACCTCGAGGTCAATGAAAATAGGTTTCGCTCGACAGTTTTTCCAGGGCTATCAGACGCCGTTTGAATTTTGACGATCGGTCAAGTAGTTCCAGAGATAGAAGGGGGGTTCTGGAGAGCCCCCCCTCTCAGTCACTCGCGTTATGGAAAATACCCCAGTCATGCGCGGGTTAAGACCATGGCAGAGCCGGGAGGATGCTAGGAATTACGGGCAGACATTGGTCTGGGTAAGGCATCCTGGTGAGTCGCCGGGACTGAGCCCATCCAGTAGACAGGCCCACTAGACCCCTGACTCCCACCGCACCCGGCTACGAGCCTGCTCCTAGGGAACTTCCCGCATATGATAAAATTACCCGTCCAGCCCGGAACAGGAGGTTTAGGCATGGAAAAGGATATTGATTATGCTGAGGACGGAAACCACGGAACGGAAGCCAAAATGGTCAGCTACCGTTCTTGGAGAATCTGGTCGATAATGATTGCTTTATCCTGCTATTAATTCAGGCCTCCCAGATTGCAATCAAACACGGGTGAGCACCGCCTACGCATCAACACCGCATTCTGGTTGGCACCTCTATCCTCACAACCATAGTTCGAGTCTCGTTAGCCTCCGACATCTCCACCCATTTCTGGTACCCTGCACGCCATCTAGCGGCCTCGCAACGAACCAGGGCTGTTGGGCACCGACCAGTACATTGAACACCGTCTAAGGTCGTAAAATATAGATTAGCAAAAAGGATATATTGATATTGATATTTCGATCACAGATCTTCGTCGGAATTGTTAACAAAAGGCGGAGATTGAAGAAAAGGAGGCTTTTGTTAACAATTCCGACGAAGATCTGTGATCGAAATATCAATATCAATATATCCTTTTTGCTAATTTATATTTTACGAGGAAAGGTCACATGATACTAAAACTGCTCTTACTAATGTTCCTCGCACAAGCGCTCAACAACATTAAACGCTACGATCTTAGGCAGTTTGTTTTGTTGAGAGCAAGCTTGTTCGGTCTGCAAAGGCTATTGAAGAAATATGAGATGGATAGGGTAGTGAATAGGATTGGGCTGAGTGGACCACCGACGGTGTGCAGCAGCAGCAGAGACCGTACTGGTTTGTTTGTTTGTTTGTTTTGTTGGGTTAGGCTCTTTCGGTCCAATGAGACCATTTCAGAGCCGGGAGGATGATAGGATATAGGGGGAGACATTGGTCTGGGCAGGCACCCTAGTGAGTCGCCGGGGCTGAGCCCGTCCAGAGGACAGGCCACCCAGCCCCAAGGCACTCACTGAACCCGGCTACGGGGTGCGCTCCCTCGGGAGCAGCGGTGCCGCTCCAAGGGAGCAGCCCGCATGAGATAAAGTTGCCTGTCCAGCCCGGAGAGGGATTGCGGCGTGGAGGAGAAGGATTTCAGTATCCTAAGGATAGAAGCACGGAACGGTGCCGTACTGGTGGGACGGGATTGTCCCGGTGAGACGGCAGTGTACCGAAGGGACGCGAGTGGCCCGATGGGACAGCCTGTCCTGCCGATCAAGCGCATCACCCGGGAAGGATGCATTCCAAAGCCTGAACAAGGATTAGACCTCAAGACCGGTTATCTTGTTCTGATGATCGCAGGCCCGTTCAAAGTAGCCTAACCTCCACGTCACTGTCATAAGCTGTTCATGCAAGGTTGTCAGCCCGTTACTCTGCCTGCCACCTAGCGGCGGCGCCACGAACCTGGGTTGTTTCTCGGCCACCGCCAGGCGGTCGGCGTCCGGGTCGTTGGCGAGGATCACCGTGCTGCCGCCGGCGTCTGCGGTGGCCATGGCCAGGTTCAGCGCCGACTTACCCTCCTCCGGGTTCGGGAACGGCACGGTCGGAAACTCCGGGTCCGCCTCCATCTGCTCCCTGACAGGGATGAACGGCTGGAGGGGGGAGGGGAGGTCAGAGGGGTTAGAGAAGTCAGAACTCAGCGGTGTGGAAGGGTGGCACGCCGGGCACAATTAGACACCGTTACGAAGCACCATTTGATTTCTACAATAGACGCCTTATGTATATCATAGACCTCATCGACTTCTACCGAACGATAACGCATTAATCTAGTCACACTTCAAGCAACCGCTCTCCTTCTCCCCGCCTCACCAGGACCAGCATCAAAATAGCCTCCGGTTCAACCAGTTCTTCCTCCTTCCCTGCCGGCTGCCCCTCCACCCCTCACCTTGAAGTTGCACGCCTTGAACGCCTCACACATGTACGGGTGAGACACTCCGTGCATGGAGGTGACGGTGAAGCGGATCGGGCTGTCGGCGTTCAGCTGCGGCTGCCGCATGGCCGCCGACAGCCGCTCCATGTAGGCGGGCGTCAGCTCGGGGCCCGGGTCGGTGGCGCCACCTATAACGGACGTGTCCCACGAGGTGGCGCGCGGCTCCAGCAGCGCCTGGATCGCCGACTGGATGCCAGAGTCGTGCGGAGGGATTATCTGTGGGGAGACAGACAAGCAAACCTAGTAAAGCATAGCATAAAAAAGTCATAAAGAAGTTCATAAGTTATGTCCAACACTTGTTGGGTGAGTGGCGAGCTAGCACAGCTAAATTACGGTCACCCGAGCCGAGCTCCGTTTTCCTCGTAGACCGTACACCCTGAAGCCGTTATGCTGTTTGTGTTGTTGTACCGTTTGGGGCTGTTCTCCCGTATAGGGGTGCACTCATCTTGTTTCCATCCACATGCAGCCGTTCTACTGTTTGAGGTTTGCTGTCCCGTTTAGGGCTGTTGTCCCGTTTGGGGTTGTTCAACTGCTTAGGGTTATTATTCCGTTTGGGGTTCATGTATCGTTTGGGGTTATTGTCCCGTTTCGGGATGGCTCACCTGTGCTCCATTGTCCCAGTAGACCTTGTAGCCATTGTCTGTTTGGGGTTATCGTCACGTTTAGGGTTGTTGTCCCGCTCAGGACTGTTGTCCCGTTTCGGGATGGCTCACCTGGGCGCCGTTGTCCCAGTAGACCTTGTAGCCGTTGTCCTGTTTGGGGTTGTGTGAGGCCGTAACCATGATGCCGGCGGCTGCCTTGTAGTAGCGTGTGCCGAATGCCACCCAGGGCGTGGGGCAGATTTTGGCGAACAGCCACACCTTGACACCCAGGTGTAGGAATATGCTGGCCGTCAGCTCAGCGAACCTGGCGATAGAGAACGGTGGGGGTAAGAAAGAGTCGGGGTGGGTAGAGAGATCAGGCATATAGGGGAGACATATGTTTATATGGAGGTCACCAAGAGCCAAAGAGGCCAATATACAGGGTGATCGAAAAAAGTGTCACCCCTAACTTAAAATCTACATAACTCGCGACTGATAGGTCGGATGATTTCGCGCCAGGCAGCATCGGAAAGAGCAGGCAATTTCTTTTCAATTGAATGTATTCATGATTGTTTTCTATTCCAAATCATGTCCCCATAGGCTCAAAAACCAGTCAATGTGCGGCTTTCACGTGAAACGAGATTCATCGAACGGGATCAGACACCGCTGAACGAGAACAATGAGTAGGTATCGTAACCCAACATGACACACACCTTACACATTACACATGGAGTGTATGTTGTTCACTGCAGACTGTTTCTCAGCTGACCTTAGACTCGTCTTCACTCGAAGTTCCTTGAACTTCACTTCACTCGAACTTCCTCGCAAACATGCGGCCTCATTATTCACAAACTCGCCGGTAACTAGCGAAACATTGCGACAACCTGCACTACCGGATTATCAATTTTATGCAGCGGTAACCATGGAACAGTTAAGAAAAATGCTCACGTGAGCTGTCACGTGAGCTGTCAGATCAAAAACTCTGTCAAAAGTACAAATTTACACAACCAAACTTTTGAACACGCCAAATTGCGTCCTTACATACTTTTTGAATAGCTACATATTCGTTTGCGGCATAAACCATGCATATTTACATCCATTCGAAAGGAAATTGTATGCTCTTTCCAATGCTGCCTGGCGCAAAGTCGTACGGCCAACCAATCGCGAGTTAGATGGCTTTTAAATTAGGGGTGACACTTTTTTTTCGATCACCCTGTATTTGAGTGGCGATTGCGCGAAGCCATATAATATATGCCTCCGCCGCAGTCTGCAAATATAGCGCCATACAGCTGACTTTGCTTTCAATGTTGCAACATCACGCTAGCTTCATATTTCTATCCCATTATGGATCTTGTATTTCAATTCACATAGTATCAAAGCAACACGTCATAATCTCTCTCATTTCACCCCGTTTCAGTGACCCTCTTCAAACAGCCTCCCCTTCCCCCGTTCTTCCACTCTATTGACCACGGCGGCGCCGGGCCACTGCAGCCACCGACCGGCGTATGGCTGTCGGCGCCGGTCACCTTGTCAGAGGTCATATAGCGCCGCGGGCGGGGCGCTCATGGCCGAGGTGACCGATCCCCCGCCGCCGGCCGACGCGACGGCACAGCAGGGGTGGGGCCAGAGAGTAATGGTGGGGGTGGGAGGGGGGGGGGGGCGCTGTGGAGTGGGTGGCAGGCGGAACTAGAGGAGTAAATGATGATGCGATGATACTTGGTAAGGGGGTGCGTGGCATCAAATCGGAGCTCGGAGTGAATAATGACATCATTAATATTTACACCAATCATCGCCATCAGTCCCTGATTAATGAAAAGCAAATATGCAAAGCGTTGTCCCGTAGTAATCACTAATCACTGTCGACAAAGCTTTCCTTTCACCAAAAAAGTTGAAATATGCACATAGACATCTTAGAAAGACATGCACATAGGCACATCTTAGGCACCAAACGCCGTTTGATATTCACGGCTGCAAGTGCAGACACAGCTGTCGGCAATTCATCACTCAAACAGCCAACGAGGGAGGCTCAAATGTTCCCGTGGTGGGTCCTAAATTTTATCCGATGTCGTGGGCCAATTCAGCATGATCGGCCCCTCGTGGCACCATATGCTTTGTCTGTGCCTGGGGTTGTTGTCTATCAAAAAGGGGTGGGCAAAATGAACGTAAAAGATAGATAGTTAGATGAGCTGAGCGATCAATGAATTCGGCATTGTCCATTGTAAGTACAATCTTCAAAGCTGGTGAGCGCAGCTGTGGCATGGGTTAGGTACACGTAAAACAGCTCCACACTTGCACCTCACCCTTCCGGTTACATCTTATGCTTCCTCTCTTTCGATATCGACAGATTCTACGGATACCTGATCCCTGCCACTTGACCAATGAGCAGCACTGCCCAGCACTAGCCTGGCCGCGCTCAAAGTTTACGTTCCTTATCAGAACAGAACCGGCCTCCCCGATACGATACCAAACCAAGATCAATTCGTAGCCGCCATGCCGGCCGGAGCCCGAGCCATATCGATCTGAAACTCGATACCCGTCTCCCTGGTCATCAGACCAGCCAGCCCGGTTGTGACGTCATTACCGAACAGCCCCCTCCCCCAGCCCCTCCCCATCTCATCCCCGACTTGGAGCGTGCCTCTAGCCTGAGCCGACCAGCTAAGCAACCATTCCCGTAACAGAAACCCCCACTGAGCTCGTAACGAAGAACCGTGACGAAAGGTGACGACGTGACGGTGCGAGGAGGAACGTGACGGGGCCGAACGTAACGGGTCGGACGGAACGAGCGCTAGTGTTCAGACGTGACGTTGTTCGGCAGCTGAGGACGTATCACGGCCACGGCTGGCAGTAATCTGCCTGCTGCTATGTTATCGCGGCGGCCGGGCAGACTGCAAAGAGCCGCGTATATCCAACGGGGGTCTCGGTGGTATGAGCGAGAGAACAGCGACGGGCCCCTGGCAGCGGTGCACGAGGTCGAGGAGAGATGCAGCGATCAGAGTACATATGGACCCTGCAGTGTACCGACCATGTGCGTGGTGAGAAGCTAATGTGGCGTTCACCAGCGTGCGATTAGACGTATGAGGTGGGTAGAGCCTTCTGGACATTGCAATGGGAACTGAATGACAATGCAGATCCAATGAGGTTATGAAGGCTGTTTCACAGACTGGTGGATGCTGGGTAATCGGTAACAGCCAGGAAAATGAGCCAGACGTCCAGAAGTTAGGTAACGGCGGTATTCTTGCCGGTAACTTGGCGGTAACTTCGCCGGTCCCGTAGCTCAGTTGGTTAGAGCGTTGGACTCCGCGTGGTGAGAGCACGCGTTCCCGGTTATGACAGTCCGGGTTCGAAGCGCGACGGGCGCTCGACATTTATGGGCCTCCTGACAGGTATGGTTGCGGTTGGTGGCAGGCCGTAGCCAGGCGAAGTCAGCGAGGGGACCGGCCGTGCGCGGCTTTGTGCGCACGTTAAACTTTGGACTCTAAATTCTGCCATAGAATCGGAATTGCGCGATCGGAGGGTAGAGGGCAGGGTCATCGCAACAAGCTTCGCTTAGCGGTGGCTCTGTCCTTGTGAATCCTTCCCATCAAAAGGTTCGGATTAAATTTATAAAAAAAAAATTCAAAACCAGTATAACGCCTTTTGGGGCGACTAACGGAGCGAGCGAGAGGGTGAGCCCTGCACGTGCGAAATTTCGAGAGGGTACCTCCAGCTGACTTGTGCACGGCATCCTACTAACCGGTCTCTAGCGATGTGCCAAATTTGAGCACAATCGGCCCAGCCGTTCTCGAGATCTGGAAGCGGCACCCTGCACGTGCGCACGTGCAAAATGGGTCCCAACTGACTTTTGCACGGCACCCTACTAACCGGTCCCTAACCGTGTACCAAATTTGAGCGCAATCGGTCCAGCCGTTCTCGAGATCTGGAAACGACCCCTGCACGTGCGCACGTGCAGCAGCACCCCAACTCTGGCACATGTATATGCAGTGCCTAGTGGGTGCCTACCTACATGCCAACTTTCAGCGCAATCGGCCAAGTAGTTACCGAGATATTGCAACAATTACAAAAGTGACACCTCTTCGTTTTGCACGTGGCACGTGCATAAGGGGTCACCCACATGCATCGGGAATAGTCCAATACTTGGTAGAAGGAATGAAGCTACCCTACAAAAATTACCGCGTGTAAATCGGTCAAGTGGTTGCTGAGATATAAGCCTCGCAAAAGCGTGACCACGGCCGGCCGGCCGGCCGCTCATACTCAGAAATTTCCGTTAATCTAAGGAAAGACTACGCTCGCTTCGCTCGCTCCGTAATCAACTAACACATTCACACCCAATGACCTGTGAGAAAGACCTTAAGAATGTTTGCCATTAATTCTCAAGAGTGTAAACTTCAATGCAGTAACACCTTGCAATGACACTACCAACGAATCGGGCCGGTCTCACGTAACATTTAGGACGTTATTCTGACGACCACTTACAGCACGAGGTCGTGACCTCCAAGGTCACAGACCACGTGGAAGAGTAACATCAGACCCATACCAGACTGAGTGTAAACAGAGACGGGAGGCAGACATTCGCCGGTCAGGGACAGAGATGGGAGGAGACAGAGGGGGTGGTCAATGTCAGCCGAGAGAAGGACGAACTGGTTACCATGGCCCAGACGCTGTCCAGATATTCGACACTGACATTGGGTCCCATAGAGACACGGCTGGGAGAGGGGATGGGGAGGGGGCATCCAGATGGGACTACCAATGGATGGAGAACGGCTATGTCCAAATGGATTATAAGAAAATAAACATTCACCTTACAGGTGCCCTTCCATTCATGAGACTCTCAAGTAATGATAGTCATTCGCTGTTATGAGGAGTGCTATTTCCCAGCATAGCAACAGTATATGCCTGCATGCCCCAATAGCGCAGAAACGACCCTGATGAGACAGCATGTCGGCACGAAATAGCCGCCCTCTTGGAGATTCAGAAAAGTCGTGTGTAATCTAGAATGTTCGGAGGTTGGCCAGCCACCCCCGGTTTTTAGATAGTTCCGAGCACTGGCAATCTCCAAATTCAAAGCGGATGGTAATCGTAGAACGGAGGTTCCGGAGATTAAAAGAAGCCGAACGGAAGCGACGCACTCAGTATCGATAAGTCGGTAGATAAGAAATCATGACCACTACCAACAGCATGCGTAATTCGCTTCTAAAATCTAAAATATACGAAGAGTGCGAGCGGATATCGATAGGTATCAGGGACGGAAACAGTCTTTGAAGCTTAGGACATTGGAAGCTTCAATCACCCTTGTTGTTGATCTAGATGCTTAACTTACTAATATGCACCACTATCTACTTCATGTCTCCCAGCACAGTGCCTCACATTTCACCAGACAGCTTACCAATGATCTCACACTTCCACGAAGGTAGCGGGACTGGGAATGTCGCATTCCACGGACAGCTACACCGCAGAATCATACCCTCAGAGTCTGGTGAGCTTCCTCATGCCTCTTTGAGCTCTGACTCGTGAAATGGCATCCGCTGCCGCTGACGCAACCGAGCCTGACGCAACGAGTCTGACTTCCGCTCGATAGCAGCAATCGAGTGGGACCGGTGGAAGTAGCGCCAATCGGAACGTATTGAAACCACTGTGGCTTGACAGTTATAGTGCATGCAACTTACATGCATACTGAAAGGCCCTAAAGGCTGTCTCAGCGTGGGTGGCCATGGCATATCCAGGCCATATGCCGTTTACATATGATGACGTCGTGTGAAATTGACCGTATGTTAGAAAACAGCTGCAGAATCACTTTAACGAAACCGTCCCATACCAGGTATACTAATACGACATATGAATGGTATCGTGAAAAGTATTTCTCTTCCCTGGTGCTACAAGCTGGCAAATCAGATGCCTATCCGCGATATCCGGAGCTGGAGACCGTTTGAAGTCCGTAATGACCCCCACGTCGATTTGTTTACAATTCCTCTGTATGTGCTTAGTGCTTACATACAGTATCCCCCAGACGCCCGATCTGATCTAAACAAGCCGTTAATACTTGAACATATCCCTCGCTGGTCCCCAAGAAGTCCTGCGCAATCAACCTCTCCTGAACTTTTCAGGGTCAACCACCAACATTCAACTCGAGAGAATGTTCTTTCGTATCATCTTTACACGACTCTTCTATCTCAGAGCAAAGATTGCGTAAATGTGTGGCGGAACCGACCGCAACGAAGAATTCATCAGATGGACAATTCACCTATTCTATTATCCTAAACACTTGGATAGCAGAATCGCTATCAAGCCACTTCAGTTGCGCAATGACCGCAAACTACGTCCCCACTACGTCCGTAAACGCATCTCGAACTATCTCGTCCTCGCAATCTTCTAAAAAAGCACTAGAACGAGAAGTTTTCGCAAGCACGAGCGCATGACTGTTAAAACTGCCCTTGAACTTAATAAAACTATCACAACACATGTCATCTGATCCTACGACGTTTACGCTCACTTTGTAAACTACCCATCACTTCAGCCCCTCCCTCCCCTTCCCGCCCGCTCCGCCGTCCCCACGCACATTGACCTCCCTCCCCGTCCCCAACTGATCTACCCGGCCCTACCCCTCTGCCATACCCGGCGATTTAACTACCCCCCCCCCCCTTCCCAGCCGTACCTACCTCCGACTATGATATCTTCCGTCATATCCGACCACCACCCCTCGCTGGGCTGCGTTGGGCACCGTTTTCAGCAGGTAGTCAGCCAGCCCCTGGGTGGTCTGTACGATCACCAGGTCGTTCATACAGGCGTAGCCGGCGCCCATGCGCCCCCGCAGGCCCGCCGTGCCGAACGCCATCCGCTTCTCGAGGAGTGAGGAGAGGCGCGCCCAGTCGCCCGCCTCCTGCAGCGAGGCGATCTCCGAGCGGGTGGCGTCATTCTGCGGGAGGGGGGAGGGGGAGGGCAGGTCAGGTCAGGTCAGGGGTGACAATTGACGGGTCATAGAATTACTGGCAGTATGTAGGTCTGGCAAATGTTTGAATCTGAATAGTATATGGCATTTAATTTATCAAGCTACCATGCCAGACTGACTGCACTCTTGCTGCACTCAAGAATATTATTTTAATTGTTTGTTAACAATTCGTTTTATAGGTACCTACTTTACCTTGTCCCATGACAACCACTCCTGAATTTTGGCTTCCAAGGCAGCAGTCTTAGCCATCTTCACCTGAGAAAGATGAAACAAGCATGTTACAAAAAAAAAAAATCGGTAACAGTCAACATGTCAATGTAGGTAGGTGACGACGGTGACGAGGGAATCACTGAAATAATGCTCAACGAATTGACAACATGAACACGCAATCAAAATAAGAACTCCGGTTTGGTAAGAACAAACACCAATAGTTCTCTACACATTGAATTCAATGGAAGAAATCAACACTGAAATAGATTGAAATCGATATTCACCCACCGCCACGTCAATACACAACCAGTGTCACTGAAGGTCACCACGCCGCCCTCGGGGGCCTCCCGATCGCAACTGGACCTCACTGGACGATGGAGACTCACTGACCACAATACGCGCAGGCGCACCGATGACCGCTGTGACCTCCAGCTGACTCCACACGCGACACGCAGGTCCCAAACGCCGACTATCCGCCCTCGACTCCACGCGACAGCCACCGGCGCGCGCCGGTTCCTACCAGAGCGATAGCGAATCACAACACAGCCGACGACGGTCAATGCCGTCGGTGGCTGGCGCTCTAGCGGTAGGATTACAAGCTTCAGTTATCAGTAGTCTGGCGGCTTGTATAGATGTCGTTATCAAACAATGATCAGCGTTACGATTGGTATAGATGACGCAGCGGTCGGAGTCACAAGCTGTAGTGTAATCGGTACCCGGACAAAAGATCGTAAAGCAGAAGATCGTAAGTCAGAAGATCGTAGGAAGTTGATCGTATGCAAAAGATCGTAATGGATAAAGATCGTACGACATAATGCTCGTATGGACAAAAGATCGTATTCGCTAAAGATCGTCAAGGAAATGATCGTATGCCAAAAAGTCGTAATGGATAAAGATCGTACGACATAATGATCGTATGGACAAAAGATCGCATTCGCAAAAGATCAGTGCAATCAGACACGAGTGTTATGAACTTTCTAGCTCACTTTGTTTACGCTTTGGATTGTGGAATGCAACCGACTAACGTTAGATACTTTTCTCAAATCTTTTACTTTGACACACCTGACAGAGCACACATGGGATCATTCTGTTCATCATCCGGCTGGTCTTTGTCCCGTACAGGCCATGACCAGTGACCACTGCTGTTTAGCGTTCCGCTTTTGACGGTACAACAAAGTGATATTGGGCATAACTGACATCATTCACTAGCAATGTGTGACATCATTCACACATTGCTCAGTCATGATGCGCGTTTAACCCTCGCCGGCACAGGGGGGGGTTGATGCAACCCCCCCCCCTAAGTTTTTTTCGCGAATAACTCGTGTAAAAAGCGGCCGATCGCGACGAAACTTTCAGTACCCTCGCATTGATCAATTTTACACCTACCCTGAAAATTTCATGACCCTGACCCCAATGACCTTTGACCTGTGACCTCTTTTCTGTGACCATCTTTGGCCGAAATCGCGGTTCGGCGCATGTCGGCTCGCATTAGCCGCGCGTTTGCAAGCTTTTCGTGGTTTCAAACGTTCAAACATGTAATTTGATGTTGCTCCCATGCATTAGGGTGGGTGTCAAGGTCACCTGAAGGTCAGGTCAGGTCATTGACCTTTGGTGACCTCGGGTGACCTCGGTTCACTTTTTCGAGTTTTACATGTTTCTAGGCTAGTTTTTGGAGCTGAATTCGAATTTAGCAACCATTTGAACATTTACGAAGTAGTTTTGGTGCCTTCGTAACATGTTACGAAGCTGTCCGAGGCGGTTGACACGCATTACGAATATCCGTCACAACCCCTACCGGTTGACATGACCTGACCTGACCCGATCTGGTCTAAATGCTAAAGACATCATCTCTGATCAAAACTAACACGATATTCGTGATCAGCACCCCGGAAAACCACATAGCAGCCACACTTTACGACTTTCTAGCAGGTCCCGATTTTCCCGGTTTTGGGTATCATCGGCTTCCTCTCGTGACGGGCAACACGCTCGTTTTTTCCGCGAAGCTCTAGTTTGATCAGGGGCCAAATGCGAGGGGGGTCGTACCAACCCCCCCCCCCTTGGGCCGTCGGAGGACTCAAAATGGCCTGTGCCGGCGAGGGTTAAGATGATGCATTTACTTCCCTCATCATTTTACGTATGTATAATGATCCCATGGATGAAGGAATGATGGTTCTTTCATCTATGATGATACCTCATTCCCAAATATCTTGGGTGGCCTTGGGTGCGCAGTTTTCTCGACCGGGGTCCTGCAGCCTCGCGGCCCACAAGCACGCCACACCACCGTGCCCCTCTGCCCAGTGTCAGCAGTCTATAGCCAGTAGCCATGTCTAATGGGAGGTGTTGAACGGTAACATCTACCGTCATAATTCCAAATGAATAGGAAATCGTTAGTTGAAACGGTCAAATGGATTATTAGACTTACGTCTAAGTCTAAGAATTTCACACGATTTCGTATCCCGAAGCTGAGAGCGTTCGCCAATGCAGATAGTCAATTGTTTTCCGCCTATAATCTTCAAATTTATTTCTAGATCTTCAAAGTGACATTTCCAGTGGGCACTCCAGATGAAAGCGCGTCCGTCTTGGTCCGTCCTGCAGCGTAGTGACCTGACCTTTAGACTGTGTTCAGCAGGGCGCGGTGTATCGCCATCTCGCTCTGTCATGAACACCTGTTCTGCTAGTCGAGGCAGAAACAAGTGGAGCCCATCCCGTCATTCTCAGGGACGTGCAGGAGAGGCGAAAATAATTCATAGTCCGGGAATGCACGAGAGGAACATGATGTATACCTACCGAGAAAACTCACATCTCAGCGTATTATATCTATACGCTGAACGTGACTTGGAGTCTCGACCAATGAGCATTAGTGATACACAAATTAAATGGAAACTCCTCGTTCCCGTCAACGCCAATTCCACGTCTATGTTGACGGTTTCTTATCGGCATTGAGTTATTCATTTTTTTCCCAAAGCGTTTATCAATCTACATATGCTATAAGCACCAACTGCAGACTGCTGTGGTGTACTGTGTTATGTGTAGTGCTTCACTAGCTCGAGCTGGGAGCGCTGCACTACTGCGCACCTATGTCTCGATAGAAGCAGGAGCGCGCTACTGACTAAAGTTGTAGTCATCGATACAACCGATTTCAAGCTGGAAGTAAAATGACAGCTAGCGAGTGGCGAGTGAAGTTGCGCAGATGATGAGATCAAGTCGGCTCAAACTCTTCGAGCTCCGTTCCTCATCACGCAGAATCGTTGAGAGACAGGCAGCAAATTTAATCGAACGCAAGGACCAAATGCAATATCCGTAGATTTATTAAATCGATAACTACGTTTTATCCAGATATTTTATTCAGATTTGGTCTTTCAAATGCAATATCCGCAGATTTATTATACCGCTCGGTACGTTTTATCCATTCAAGGGGCACCTATAGCGTGAGTTTTATTTCCTTCGAGATGTTTTCAAGTAGGTAAAATAACATGAACGTTAATTACCGAACAATAAATGACAATCCAAAGCACTGCAGAGTGTGGCGTGCCATGCCACCACTCGTCAGCATTTGTCAATAAAAGCCGTTTTCACGACGGCCATCTGGTACACATTTGGTACACATTTGGTGCAGATTAGGTGCAGATTTGGTCAAATTAGGTTCAGTGTATCTCTTAGAAGCTATCAGCTAGAGTTGCACTAATTGCTCATATGCCTCCTTTGTCATATTATCAGAGAGTATCATCGACTAAAACACTGAAACCAATTCTTAAACTAAAGATATTTGCTGTAAAAGATATTAGGTGCAGATTTGGTCAAATTAAGTGCATTCGCCGGATAGCCCGTCGTGAAAACGGCTTATATCGCCAGCATTTCGTCACCTTTAACCTTGAGAATATCTGTGATAAATAGCGGTCACAGCCACTGGCGGATCCAGGGGGGGGCCACGGGGGCCATGCCCCCCCCAAAGACCTAAAGTGGCCTGTTTGGCCCCCCCCCAAAACGCCAGAAAAATTGCTAAGAAAATATACCTTGATGGAGGTTTTTAGCCACTTGGTGAAGTAAAGCTTTCCACAGCATAATATGGAAGCAATATAGTAGCAGTGAGGGTCAGTCAAAAGTTGCGCGAGCGGAGTCGACCTTAAAAAAAAAGACTGTTGTTGGCACGTGTTTATGGCGCGGCAGCTGGTAGTTGGCGGTGTTTCGCGTGGTGTGGCATCACTGGCGGATCTGGGGGGGAGGGGGGGGGGGGGGCACGGGAGCCTGAGGTGCCCCTGACAGGCCCGTGGTGCCCTTGCTAGGCCTGTGGTGCCCCTGGACCCTGGCAGGCCTGTGGTACAGTCCACAGCAGAAGTAATGTGGAGTTTCAGTCATGGGTATGTTCTGCTTCTGAAGCTTAGGAACGATTAGCCAGACTACAATGAAACTTTGAATGTAGCTTATATGTATCGTCACCCTTGCAGCTGCAACTTTAGCTATTGACATCTTCTTTTCAATCACTTCGCATTAAACAATCGCCAGTCAAAGCCAACCGTTGAGTTTGGTAAAACCCTACATTACTTTAGCGGTGGGCTGTACCTCTGGCGGGCCTAGGGTGCCCCTGCTAGGCTGCTGATGCCCCTGGGACCTGACAGGACTGTGGTGCCCCTGACAAGCCTAAAGTGCCCCCAACAGGCCCGTGATGCCCCCGACAGGCCCAAGGTGCCCCTGCGTGATGCCGTGATGCCTGCGAGGCCGGTGGTGCCCCCTGCGAGGCCGGTGGGGCCCCTGACAGGCCCATGGTGCCCCTGCTAGACCGGTGGTGCCCCTGGCAGGCCTGTGGTGCCCCTGCTAGGCCGCTGGTGCCCCTGGGCCCTGACATGACTATGGTGCCCCTGACAGGCCCAAGGTGCCCCTGCAAGGCCGGTGGTGCCCCTGTAAGGCCTGTGGTACCCCTGCTAGGCCTCTGGTGTCCCTGACAGGCCCATGGTGCCCCTGCGAGGCCGGCGGCGCCCCTGGCAGGTCTCTGGTGTCCCTGACAGACCTGGGGTGCCCCTGACAAGCCTGTGGGGCCCCTCACAGGCCCGTGGTGCCCTTGCTAGGCCTGTGGTGCCCCTGGCGGGCTGGTGGTGCCCCTACTAGGCCGGTGGTGCCCCTGACAGGCCTGTGGTGCCCCCGGGCACCAAGGGGGTCATGACCCATGTGGCCCCCCTTGGATCTGCCACTGATGCATAATATATTGATTTGTAAAGGCGTTATGGCTTATGCAATATGCAATTGCAGGCACTTGGTATCCCTCACTTATCCCTCATTGGGGCTCTGGCGGGCTCCTGAGGGCCCACGTCTATCTCCGGGAGCCCATATAGACAGGCTCCTTTGGGTCCTTTCAGTACACTATAGCATAAGAGGTCTCCATGCGAGTCCTATACATACATCTGAGGGCGTACCCTGATGTCTGAGGTACCCAACTGCAGCTCCAATGGTCTCTTCTTACACTGGCGGATCCAGGGAGGGGGCATTTAGGGCCATGCCCCCTTCCCAGAGGCCTAAAGTGGCCCGTTTTCCCACTCCCCCAAACG